AATAAAGAACCTTTCCTTGCAATTTTAATTCTGTAGTAATCAATTGGTCTAAAATAGTCCATGAGCCAGCATCCTCATGTAGCCAACAATCATCTCGTTCAATAAGTCTTTTTAATTGTTTTTCGGTATACAGATCTTTATCTGCTTTATGAACATACTGAAGGTCGACTTCACTTGCATTATTGTATGAAGCTACTACTTTTAATGCTATTTCTGTTCCAGAAGTACGATGTCTACGACATGCCATTATTGCCTTATCACGGGCTTGAAGACTCAAGTTAATTCTACCCAATTTTGGCTCTGCTGAGGTATTGTTAACGATCTATGTGTACTTTTAATAGTTAACTGTACTGGTAAAGGTTCTTCAACATCAGAAAGCATCACTTTCATAATAATCTGAACTGCACATTTGTGCATATCAAAATCATTTGTAAGGTTGTTTTTTAAATAAAAATTTGGACACTCTGATTTACGCTTTCCAAGTCCACTACATGCTCTCTCACAATCATTGTTGCCATCACAAAAAAGAACTCATCTCAATACTGTCAGATCTGAACCCATGCATTGTCTTATTTTAATTACATGTTCACGACCTTTATCAGTAAGCTCGAGTATATCGTCTAACCTATTTGTTGATTTAGTTTGTTCTTGGCTGGTTTGCTATGCAAGATAATTGATTGCACCCTCAACTTGTCTCAAAGTAATAAATCCAGCCTTGATATTTTCATTAACATCAAGCCGGCTTTGCTTCTTGAGCTTGCAATTCATAAATAAAGGTAATGGTAAATTAACACTTCTATCAGCATTAATAGGGTGTTGAGGAAGTGTATTCATTGTCTAAAAAAAAATGTAAGTAGTTTTTAATATGGTGATGTTTTTTATTAACAGCAATAAAATACATATTTTCAATTAAAATGATAAAGTATTTTGACTCACTAAAGTTTTAAATTATATACAAGTGATATGGAATAAATCATGTCACACGATCATATATCTACTCGCAGGTACATTCTCACTTTTTTTCTTCTTTATCG